AGTGCTATGTTATGTATTTGCAAAACTGCTTAGAAGATTGTTTAATCTGTTTGACCTTTGTAAAGACTTGACCTGTGCACTTGAAATGCTGTAGGTGATAAAGTGCAGAGACTCAGAACAACAGGAAGTGTGCAGATGCAGAGTGAGATGACTAAACTGTCTGCATGAGAGATGTGAGTGGGTATAAGGTCTTATTGTCTTGGCTTTAGATTATCAACATTATATGAAATGCTTGGCCTTTTATGATTGACATTATAATCTGCATTAGCAAATATGTCTACATGTTTATTTTAGTATCATATGCTTTACAATTTACTTTTGTTTTAACCAGTTCACTTGTCTTTAAGCATATAGGAGACTTGTGTGGGCTGTAGGAAATAGACAGGAAACCACACAAAACAGGAACTAGACCAGGTCGCATAGCAACGCTGCTCCTGGTTACAAGAGTAGATATGGGCTTGCCACAATGCAAGAGAAAAACCTAAGAACTAAAAAGAGGTCAGTTTCTAAAACCACAACTCCCATTTCAACGTATGGACTCCATAAAATTAAACAAGGGTGAGGGAAAGAAATTTTACCTGGTAATAATAGACATATTGAAGTGCTTCCCAAAACTCATAACCCCCAGATATGAAATACTTGAAAATTATATAGTGACAATGGAACCCAAGTTGTACGCTGTGCAATTGTTAGTCCAAAATACTTATTCATGACTGAATTATATAGTCTCTGTGGTGAGGAGACTGGGGGTGCCGGCTTCCTGAAAGCAGCTGTGCACCATTCTTCTGTGTGTGGATAGGGCTTCAGATAGAGACGGAACCCAGAGCTCTGTATTGCTTTTCTTAAATATTGTAATGAATATCTTAATGGACAGATTTGTCTTTGAGCATTCTTCATAAAAGAACATGCAGGACTGGTTGAGTCCAACAGCAGCTACACTTCTACTTAACATCGCTGTGCTTTCACAAAACCATCAGCGCAACCTTCCTCTGCAACATGTCTTGTTTTACAACACATTTTACAGTGAAATATATAACTCAGATCTACAGTAGATTTAAAACTGTTTTCAGGTTCAGTTGTATACTTTTATGCACAAGCTGGGTTTTTTGAGATGGTAACCAATGAACCATGTCAAATATGAGTCAGTCAATCAATAGATGCTATTCAATCAGTTCTTATGTCAAAATGGGACCATTTTCAGGTTATAGTAGTATCTGTGCGTCACTGTGGCTGCCCAGTTTACAGATGAGAGAAGAGCAGGCAGAGACAGGCAAGAAGGAAGAGGAAAAAGCAGTAACAGACAGTCTCAGACAATCAAAGAGGTCTGTGCAAAGAGTGCAAAGACAACCACACAAGACACATAACTTGGACAACATCTTGACTATCAGATTGCATACTGAAGCCTACCTGTGGTATACTTATTATTATTAATAATAATAATAATAATATGTAGGACCTAAGCATGTTCATTTCTGAGGAAGAGTCGAAGTCAGAAGAACCTTTAAAATATTTATTACAACCTTGATGAAGAAAAAATATTCAGGACAAGCAATACAGAGCTCTGGATTCCATCTCTATCTGAAGCCCTATCACACAGAAGTATAGTGCATAGCTGCTGCAGGAAGCCGGAACCACGAGTTTCCTCTGTATAGAGAATTTATAATAGGAGCCATGCAAATGATCTGACGTCATCTGCGTTGTCCTTCATCCTCGTTCCTTGGTTGGTTTCTTGACCTCGTTCTGACCCCTCATTTGGTGATCTTGTCGCCAGGCAGATTTTGATCTGTGACATTCTCAGTACAACATATCCTGACCTTTCAATAGACAGTTTTAGAGGAAGCACCTCGAGCGTTGCTATGCAACCGTGGTCTAATGTAGTGGAAACACTGTCCCTATGAGATAGCCCGACGGGCAGGACTGGATTATATTTGGTAGCCCGACTGGAAGATAAGCTAGCCCCGGGCCGTCGGGCAGGCGATTTTGCGAGCCCAGCAGGGGATAACATGTCCCAAAGCCTGAAACTCAACAAATTATTCTTTGAAGAAGTTTCACTTTATATATTGTCATTTTTGTTTTTGTACAGCTTTAATAGATTTGAGCATCTGAGAGTTTACTCTAGGGAAAGCATCCTGGCTTGTTGTGTACCACTAGAAATAGTGATATAGAAAAACTGAATGACAAAAATGAAAAAGAATTCTAACATTTCTCATGGCCTTGTGAAGTTCGCAACATGCACTGGCTTTTCAGGACAGAGAAACAAAAGGGCTGAGTGGTACTTGTGGAGCATAACCACTGACTACATTTCAACATTACCCCTTAAATTTCCAATTTCAAACTGATTCTGACACTCTTTTCACCTCAAACATTCCTCACAAGATCACTCCTATCCACACCATAAAAAAAAAATTCTCTTCCCCATTTTTATTGTTTTAACCAATAAAATATTGCTTTATTCAAACCATCAGGATATTTTCAGTTTAACCCTCAAGCTAGTGGTTGTACTTCACTTTTGTGTGACTGCCTGCAAAATGTGTGAAGTGTGCCTCCTTGTGGTGTTCTTGAGAATTGCAGCTCTTCACATATAGCAGCTCCTCACAGTGTGGGGAGCTGCTATATGCTGTGGTGAACAGGTGTGGGTGATTAGTGGCAGGTGAAACCAATGTACATGATGAGATGAAGTTACTGGGGTTGTGGATGAGCTGGTGACAGGAAGTGGTACCAAAATAAAAGTAGGATCCTGGAAGCAGACGGGGCGGGATCATGACAGTACCCCACCCCCCACAGATGGCCCCAGACGGACCCCAGGCTGATCCGGGTGGACCCGATGGAAGTCCCGGATGAGAGAAGGGTCTACGATGCGGTGTGAGGGGACCCAGGACCGCTCCTCAGGGCCATAACCCTCCCAGTCCACCAGGTATTGGAAACCCCAGCCACGACGCCTGGACTGCAGGAGGCGGCGCACTGTGTAGACCGGACCACCGTCAAAGAGCCGGGGTTGAGGAGGCGGTGCAGGTGGGGGAGCCAACGGGCTGGACTGGACAGGCTTGACCCTGGACACATGGAAGGACGGGTGAGCACGAAGTGTACGGGTTACTTGAAGTCATACCGCCCCAGGGCAGAGTCGCTTGGTTACAGGAAACGGCCCCACGAAGCACGGCGCCAGCTTTCGACACTCCATTTTCGGGGGAAGGTCTTGGGTGCAGAGCCACACCTTCTGTCCCGGTCTGTATGTAGGGGCACCGACCTGTCAGACAGAAAGAGGAACAGGAAAATAAGACAGAAAGAAAGGTTAATGTGTGAACTGTAAATAATGTCTTCTATCTGCATAGACTAGCAGTTACATTCTTGTCTTACATGATGCCATTGTTGAGTAATTTTATTACACGTTGCTGTGTTTAACTATTTGCTGAAAAAAAAAGTACATGCATTTTAGAGTATTCTTTCACTGGTTCTCACTTACTTGAGTGTCAGTGGCATCTTAATGCATCATAATTGGCCAATTCAGGGTAAAGGATGTCCCAAAGCCTGAAACTCAACAAATTATTCTCTGAAGAAGTTTCACTTTTGCTTGCCATAATATTGATATAAAGATTAAACATAATCTGAATAATAACTGAAAACAGTGATTATATTTGGCAGTTATCTGTTTAATACTGGAAGATGTGTTAGCAGCTCTGAGAGAGACAACAGAGTCTCATTGTTCATTGTTGGCACGTTGATGAGGGGCTCCATGTAAATGTCCTCTCGCTGATTATTTCATCTACTATGTCTAATCTAAGGGACATTTTGAAAGGAATGATTTTGAAATACTTATTTGGGTTGATGGGATTCTTTAATGTTTGGAAGTGGCCCTATAAGATTTTCATTAAGGAAATTCCAGCGACACTAATTTCACCAGAGGCAGCCACTGTAGGGCAACTGTGGCTCAGTGGGTAGAGCGGTCGTCTCCCAACCGGAGGGGCGGGGGTTTGAATTACGGTGTCTGCGGTCCACATGTCGAAGTGTCCTCAGACAAGACACCGAACCCCCAAGTTTCCCCCAATGGATAGAGCCATCGGTGTGAGTTGGTGCCGCAGATGGCTGCCTCGGTTCTGTACCAGAAACAAATTCCTTGCGTGTAACATACTTGGCCAAATAAAGGTGATTATATTCCTTGTTGAACCAGTAGATGATAAGCTGACCCTCACTGCTGGTGAAAGGCTTAAATAGAAAAAAAAAAAAAACTCGTCCCCCAAGGCTGATTAACTTCTGTACATTTGATATGTACATATCTGGCTGTAGAAATCCTTCTTTAAATAAAACCTTTAGACATACAAATAAGCAAGATTTTCAATAACTTAGGACATGGATAACAAAGTGAGAAAGTGTCCTCACCACACACACAATCTTATGAAATGATCATCTGACTTGCAGCAAGTGGAAGAGCAGGCACAAACAAATGAATAAGTGATGCTGGGACAGACAGAGAGAAAGCATGGCACTCACCGATCCATTCTATTATGTCTGGAGGGAAGACTCGGGAGGCGAAGGCTCTCAGGAAGATTTCATAAAACTCCTTATCAAGGCCACCAATACCCACCTTCTCAAGGTTCCAGTCTAGGCTGATGATAGGAAATCTGCCTGTCCCTGGAGGGGTGAGACCAGGATAATAATCAGGATAAGGATAATCACCTTTATTTGGCCAAGTATGTTACACACAAGGAATTTGTTCCCGGTACAGAACCGAGACAGCTTTCTGCGGCCGGCTGCCCCGCTCCAAAACAGTACCTGGAACAGGGACAGAGACAGGCACCAAGGGGGTGTCGGTACACCAACTGGCTCGGGCCCTGGCGGGGACGTTTCTGTCAGCACACCAGGGGTTCTGGGTGTCGGCACGTACACCACCGTGCCTGGGCATGAAATACTGCTGCTCACAGATATCCACTTCCTTTCTTAGCCTAGCTTCCACTACTCTTTACCATAGCTTTATTGTGTGGCTCATCAACTTTATACCTCTGTAGTTGCTACAACTCTGCACATCACCCTTGTTCTTAAAGATCGGCACTAGTACACTTCTCCATTCCTCAGGCATCTTTTCACTCTCTAAAATCCTGTTGAACAAACTAGATAGAAACTCCACTGCTCTCTCTCCTAGACACTTCCACACCTCTACAGGTATGTCGTCTGGACCAACAGCCTTTCCACTTTTCATTCTCCTCAGAGCCTTCCTCACCTCATCCTTTCTAATCTTTGCTACTTCCTGCTCTACAATACTCACCTCTTCCCCACTTCTTTCCCTCTCATTTTCCTCATTCATCAGTTCCTCAAAATACTCCTTCCATCTTCTCTGCACACTCTCCTCACTTGTTAGCACCTTTCCATCTCTGTCTTTAATTGCCCTTATCTGTTGCACATCCTTCCCATCTTCATCTCTCTGTCTCACTAATCTGTACAAGTCCTTCTCACCTTCCCTCGTGTCTAACCCGGCATACATCTCATCATATGCTTTCTGTTTGGCCATTGCCACCTCCCTCTGTGGCCCCTTTGAAACATCATTTCACTTAGTTCCTGCTTGAACCATTCTTGGAAAAAGAGAAGCACTGACTGTGTGTTTCGAGGAAGCTGTTCTGTTATGATGTGTGTTTCGGCATCAAGGTGTCATAAAATAATAACATTTCATTATTTGTACAGCCTGTAACAAATGTACATTACAGGGACAAGAGGAAGTGAACAGTTAAAGCAAGTAAATGCACAAGATCATAAAGACAATGGCTTCATTAAACAGTGTAAATATGCATGAAAGCCTTATAATGTTTTAAGGTGAGATTTTAAAGATGTTTGTCAGCTGAAAACCTCCCACACCAGCCTGTGCACTTTAACCACACCTCCATTGCCTCATGCTGTGTATGCCAGCTGGAACAGGGATGTGTGAGACCAGAGCACTGCTGATGTCTGTTAGCCAGACCCAGTTCACCACAGAGTGCAGAACAGCTCTGCAGGCTATTCTGCTCTTATACAGACAAGCATTTTTTTTTCTTTTTTTTGCAGCAGCAGCTGGCATGTTTTGGACATCTGTTAACATGGGAAAAAAGGGAAATTCTTCAATTGTGTGCCTTTCTAACAACCGACCTCAAGTTAATTTTGCCCTTTTTGGATCTTCTGAATTGGGTGCAAAGTAACAAATACTTTCTTGAGGATTGTAGATGCTAATGTAATAATAACAACTCTGTGACCTTGAGAAACAGCTACCCACTATCCCCTGCAGGTATTTTTCTAATATTCTATATCTATGTGGTACAGAGAACAGCCATGGTCTTAATGATCTTTTTAATCCAGTTATGTCTTGAATTGCATTATCTCATTATAATTGATTAACTTGTTATTGCTGAAAAATAAAAGGATTAATATTTTGTTTTCACTAGATGAAATAGGTGGTTTTTCTCGATGAAAATGAGCTAACTTAGTCTCAAGGAAACATATTATCTTGATGTCACTATGTATTTTTAGACACTAGCAGCATGGCTTAATGAATGGAACTGTTGGTCTGCATAAGCAATGATTAAAAACTGTCTTTACACATGGGTTTTACTTCCTTGTGATTCTTAAATTTCTAATTTTGGTTCACTGGATGGAGCTGTATGACCAGAATTATAGACTGTCCAACTCAGAACTTCGTGAACAATGTAGGCTTTTAAAATGCAGCCATGATATGAACAGGTTTGTAAAAGGAGTATGATCCATCTTCCTCTTTTCACTAATAAGGGCGATACCTCTTATAGAGGTAGCCCTCATTAGGCCTTAGGGGTTTAATCAGCGATTCAGTGTACTCCTACATAGTCCATCTATCCATTCTCTGCTGCTTTTCCAGGGTTGGGTCATGGTGGCAGCAGGTTCAATACAGTAGTCCAGACATCCCTCTCCCTGTTGACATGTTCTAGTTCCCCTGGCAGGATTCCGAGCTGTTCCCAGGCCAGATGACATGTCTAATCTCTCCAGCGTGTTTGTGATATCTTTAGCAAGTAATCTGGCTGAGCGTGGTTTCTTTTAGTACAGCGTTCAAATTGCTTCACCACTCACTAATTTGATTTGATTTGATTTATTATTTCAAGCATGTAAAGACAGTTGATATGACAACACACATAATTTTGCACATAATCCAATATCAGTTTGCTTATACCTAGTACATGCTTGAATGGAGTAGGAAGAAGTCAGACTTATCCAGTCCTACCCCATGACATCATCTTACCATCATTGGTTTGCAAGCAGTATCTCTACATAAATAATTCTCTTCTACCCACACAAGTAATATACAAAAAAATTATGACAGTGTTAACATTCTTACATAATTACATTCTTAAATAATTCTCTTCTACACCACACAAGTAATATACTAAAGAATTATTACAAAGTGTTAACATTCATACACCACACCCACAATGTTCCATCTAATTAATCATTAAGCCTGTTCTTGCATATATCTTGATTGACACATACCTTTATATTTATGTTTAAACTTATCAATTCTATTACTATTTTTTATGTCCACACTTAAATTATTCCATAGTTTTACCCCACTTATGGAAATACAAAATCTTTTTTTGGTTGTACGTATAGCATGAATTTTTAAATTTAACTGACCCCTTAAATTGTATCCCCCTTCCCTTTCATTAAATAGTTTTTGAATTCCACCAGGTAATAAATTGCTCCTGGCTTTATACATAAACACTGCAGTCTTATATCCCACTAAATCGAAAAATTTTAACAATTTAGACTGTATGAAAGCTACGTTGGTGTGATCCCTATACCCCATCTTATGCACAATTCTTATCGCTCTTTTTTGTAATATATACAATGGTTGAAGTGAGCTTTTGTATGTATTTCCCCAGTTTTCAACACCATATTCAAAGTATGGTAAAATCAATGAAGAATACAAAATGCGTAGTGCTTTCCCATCCAAAATATATCTAACCCTTGCCAATATCGATATATTTTTTGCTATTTTGTGCTGAACATATCTGATATGAGATTTCCAGGAGAATTTGTCACATATATCTTGATTGATATTTATGTTTAAACTCGTCAATTCTATTACTATTTTTTATGTCAACACAAATTATTCCATAGTTTTACCCCACTTATGGAAATACAAAATCTTTTTTTGGTTGTACGTATAGCATGAATTTTTAAATTTAACTGACCCCTTAAATTGTATCCCCCTTCCCTTTCATTAAATA